CAGATACCACGCAGGCCAAATCCCACCCCTCCTAGATTTTTATCACCAGCAGAGGACTTTTCGTCGAAGATTTCAGGCGTACTTTCAAAACAATCTTTTTGTGGTCTTTTGACAGCCTAGTGGACCACCACGACCTTAGAAGTTGATTGACATTACCCTGTTTGGCTCTTGAAAACCCACAACGCAGGATACCTCTTCTGTTTTAGTACAGAATTGGCGTCGAGAAAGTATCACAGAAAATAACGGAATGCAACTGTATTGGAAATGATCATATAATGTCATCTGTTTTTAGGAACCCCAAAGTACCCCGGATGCAACACTCACGACAATCCTGCATCCGCAAGAACTCCACAAAAGTTGACCGAAGCAAGTTGCTTTGTGTAAACTCTTGGACAGGTGGCAAATACTACGGTGACGCACTAAGATGATCTTCAGTAGGTGAAATTATTCTGTTGAATCATTTCCGCAACCCGGGTGTACCAAACGGACTGTTTATCTTACATAAGTGAGCAACTGTTCACGGCTTTTCTACTCTCGAGTATAGCTCTAGGTGTGAGCACTGCTGAGTTTGTTCCCATATCCCAGTGATCTATTCTTCAGAATTTGCATGTGACACCCAAGAGGATGTCATACCTGGTAGGTAAATAAATAGAGCTCTGACTAACACAGTCTCTTGGACCTCCAGGTTTGGGGGTGGAAAATGTGGTGTGACAAACTAGTTAGGAATATGAGCTACTCTGACAGTCATCATTTTCGACAGTGGGGCACCAGCATTCTCCTCTGGCGCTGCTGTCAAGGATGATAATGACGGCGATTTGTCCCTAATAATTGCTAGCACACAGACCAAAATGTTACGTTGTGTTTGCGCTTCGAGTTCCAGTTCCGATGCCAATGCATTTCACTGGATCCCTCAATGAAACCCAACCATCGAAGTGAGATTCTATTCTTCATGAGGCCTCACTGCTTAAACAGCTGATTGCTTGGATTAACCTACGTGGGCTTTGTCGGATGTTGACTCCTACGGTAAATCGACTGTAATCAGCTGTTACTCCACATTTCTCTGACTACTCATCAGTAGGATGATTTTTGCCTGCTTATAGCAACACCGTTTTGCTTCCCTGATGGTGATTTCGCGGGTTTTCTCCGCTGCTTACAGTTGGCTCGCCATCCCTCTAGTTGCCGGTGTCTGGTTGTCTTTGCTTGTAATTTTTGCAATAACTATACCCATTTTCGATTGTGCTCCGACGCGAAGGTAAGCCGCCCGGGTGTCGAACTCCGATCTCGCAGATGGCGAATGGGCGTCAAATCGACTTCCGCGGCAGCCCTATTGTTGTAACACCGTCGTATTGCATCTCATCTGGCGATGACTGCTTGGATTTGTTTTAAACGGTCCTAAGCGCGCGTTTTGGTTTGACGCGTAGCACGTGATACTCTGTCAGGCATGCGATTCATGCTCAAGCCAGCATTCTGATTGGTTAGTTATGCACAAGCCAGGAAGCGCGCGCGTTCAAATTGCATTTGTGCACAAGCCAAGAAAAAACGAGTTAAATGGTTGAAGCGCGTAAACCGTTTTGTACCTTTATTTTACTTCCATTATAACACTGCGTATTTCATCAATTGCATAATCGTTTTTTGTTTAAATACGAAAAACTACAAAAACGCGCACTTGTACAATTTCACAGAATACAAGCGTGGTCACGTGCTTCGACTCTCTCTTCTGATTTCGCTCGCGCTTGCAGCGGTCATTCGCGAGTCTCATGTACTAACTCTGGTACCAAAACATTTCAGACATCTTCGGAATCTATTATATGTGGGAACTGTTCAGAAGAAGACCTCTGGACCAACATAATTGGATTATTGTTTATTCGCTGACCTGGGCCAACGACGAACTATTATAAAGAGAACAATTGTTAGTGAGTCTGTTCCGTCTGATCTCTTTATTTTTGTATACCCAACCCAGCGTAATCATTTTTATTTCTTTGCCACACACTCCTGTTAAACTAACTTGTTGGGTAGCCAGACCACTACAAAACCAAGGAAAGATGGACTGTCAGTGCAAGCAATTTTAATAATTTATTGCAGGATACCTCTGCTTCTCCGCGTGGAAGGCGTGCCATAGGATGTTTATAAAATAAAAAATCTTAATATCACAGAATGTATCTGCAAACCTTAACGTATCCATCGAACTGCCTTTCTCCACACAGCCTTTTCTGACTACCCGCATCATTCCTTCCAATGAAAGCTTGGGAGGAACTCAACATTTGTGTTTTCGGAAATCTCGATTCAAACTTAACTATAGTCATGGATATGTAACCATAGTCAAGACCTCGCACTCAGAACTTTAGGTTGCTTTCATCTTGGTGAATCATATTTTAGTGCTATATATGACTCAGCAAAAGCAGTAGCATCCTACGAAGTGACATGTTAACCGGGAAAGTCGAAAAGGTATCGAGTGAAGTCGCCAGGACTTGAGCTGCGAATCATCAGGGCCGCTCCCAAGCTCATCCCGCTTGGCCACCAAGGCACGAGCGGCCCTCGGTGCAAATTCCTCTTGAGCAGCTGAGCCTCCTATGCAGTGCTTATATGTTTTGGTATGGATCACGTGACTGGGACCAACCAATCATTTGCTTCAGTTTGGCTTGTGCATGAATCGACTTCCACTCCATCATGCTATAAGATGATAACAGCAGGTAAACCCAGTTTGTGCCAAACTCATCCGATAGTGGTTTTCCAGATAGTTTTTGTTTCATCAATTCCTCTCCAATAAGACCAAATCAGGGAAATCACGCCTCATTCTCGATGATTATCTGGTAGGCGTTCTTTCGGTGTTGTTAAGGCTGGTCACATACAAAGCCTGTTCAGGCCATGCAGAGTGCCCTAGAATAACAAGCGTCAGGCGTTGGAAACTCCATCCCTCGGTCTATTTTATCTATGCATCCACACCCACACTTCAGCCTCCAAGTATGTCACATGTCTGTATGACATTTGCTTCATCTTTCCATGGACAGTCGGGTTTAACTGGTGATTTTGGTACTTTTAGGCTAACCATATCGCAATCTCATGGAATGTTTCCTACAACTGATGACAAAGGACCCGACGCCGTGAAAAACAGGAGCATTACGGTCATTTTGCTACCGACTGTGGCCTCACACATGACTTGTTGGTTGTGAATTTCCGGTTCCCGACAGACTTACTAAGGCTAATTATCATTTATTTTTGAAGAGCATGGTCACAAACATAAAAAGTGACCGCAAGCGATGAATGCGAAAGAGTAACAGGAGAATATGGGAGAAGAGAGAGGTCTCATTCGAAATCATGCCAAGAACAGTTCCAGTCTGATGAGGTGAATCCCAAGGTATGTAAAGGTTTTGGTATGGAAACATGTTTCTAAGGACCAACAACCGAATGCTCTTCAAGGCGCGGTAGGCGATAACACAGTCAAGACTCACACATCAGGCACAAAGTATCCGTCATACTGGGTCTGGTGTGAGATTAAATGGCAAAAATGTACATTCAACGCCATGTGCCACGCATAAAAAGTACGTTGGGCAATCCTAAGTGAGCCAGAGAGCTCCACTCTGAAATGCTCTAAGGCATCTGGTGGCATTCGGACAACCAAAATTTCAGACAGACCCGTAAGGTAGGGACTGATCCGCTCAATCCGCACTGGAGATGCCAACTTGATTGGCGGTGAAATGCTTGCAATGGAACTGTCAAGCTCGGCTGACAGACCGAGTAGCGCAGCCCATCTATCTATATTCCGCAACACTGCCAGGGTTATACCGTACTTTGGAATGACTATTGTGTTCTTTGGAACTTCAGTTATATAGCTTTCTGTGAATTAAATCGCTCGCAAAACACATTCACTGGTTCCAGAATTCGACTCTGACTTTCTAGGACAGTTAAAAGCAGCTTAACTTTGATTGTGGCGTGTTCTGTGTGAAGCTTTACGGCCTAACCGTGTCAACCACTGTGGCATTTTCTCAACGATTATTCTGCACTGGTTGTTACCGATTATCGGTCTTTGAGTTTGAAAGCTTATCTTAACACTATCCTGGAATTCGCATGTAAAGGATCACACAAGTGAAAGTACTAGGAAAGAGTTGTTTCGGCTCTGATGACTGTCTGTTCTATTTTTGCTCTATCGGTTGGAAGCATTCGGTTGTCATCATTTGTTCGAAACACCGGCCGTGCACAGTTTGGCTGGAAAATTCTTTCATATTTTGATAAGAATGTTTTTTGTTGATTTCACTCGATTGTGATGTAGGTAACTTCTTAATAAAATATTGTAATGCAGTTACGTTCATCAATTTTGACTCTTACATTTTGCGTACACGTCTGAAGTGTATCGATTTCGCCAATGTCCCCAAATTTGAGAGTGATGATTTTAAAACCGTCACGGTTATTTCCGTTGAACCAAATGACAACTGCATTTACTCGAAACGTAGTTGTGAATTAAAGTCGACAGGGAACGGTGCCATCATCATAGAGGAATTATTAATGCGCAGCAAGTCACTAGAACGTATTTCAACTTGAAAAAGTTGTGCTACTGTAATTTGTTTGTTTATTTATTTAATTGGTCATGTTTATTTATTTAATTTATTTAATTGGTCATTTACTCTCTGTATCTCCCTCTGGTGCTTCCGAAAAGAATCGGAACTCTACACAAACAGGTTTATATCCCTATTTTAGCAGAAAATTGTGACCTGGTAGCATGTATACTGGTTGTTTCTCGTTCAGAACATCCTTTTTTCTACTCTGTCTATCCTTCGAATGCATGCGTTCCAATAAGCCAATCAAAAAATGCTGCCCAGTCATTAACTTTTATTTGAGTGAAAAACAGTGCACCGATTTCTTTCCCTTCCATGTTTCCAGTCGGTCGACGTGGACTTTTATTCGGTGCAGATGAATGAACCATGGTGGGTGTGAAATTTTGGTAGTAATATGGAGCGAATTTTCGGCCGCTCATGTCCAGAAAATCAGCTGATCAAAACTACACACTACTCTCCAATCCACACCAATAGGGGTTTGTTCTGTTTCTCAGCTCTGATAGCAACAACCGTTTCAGATAATACCATGGAAAAATCAAGGATATTGGTGGGAGAGAATATGTGACCCAACAGCACGTTGTCTTCATTACCAACTTTCCAAACGGATAGTTGCTGGCGATCAGGACTGCCACTGGCCACGACGACTCGCGTTCCATCTGGGGAAACTTGGATCATTGGCTGTGTCATGTTTGAGAGTACTAGCTTCTCACTTTGAGTCAGGCGTCGACAGATTGTGGGGGTTTCATCCACAAACCAGACGCTAACTCCGTCGTTCATTTGGGCAAACGCTACCGTACAACGCGTGCTGCCGACTCCAATGGCCACGACGTCGGACTGATTTGTCAACCGTTTTCGGTACCAAGGTACTTTTGATTTCCCCGCTGATGATTTGCCAGCTGCCTCTTTCAGCGGATATAAGTTCCAAACAGTGACACAAGCCGATCCTTCGTCCGAACTGAACTCTGAGTACGCAAGCCAATCGCCGTTGTCAGACAAGGCAGAGGTGGCTAGACTTATCGAGTTCCCAGTAGATGCTGGATAGTATGAGGACTTCCCGCTTCGAGCATACCTCTCGTTAAGAGTGCCTGCATGACGTGCGCAGTGCGGCAGAAACACACAACACAACAAAGGATCGAAGCTAGCAACGATTACGGATCCATCCCCACTAACAATGAATTGCCCCACAGCCAAAGACTCTGGGGAAAATTGCTTTCCTGTTGCTGAGGTTGTTAACTGCTGGCTTGCATCATCACCTTCAGCCGTTCCTGGATAACGTTCATCTTGGCCCACAGGCTTTGTCACACTAAAATGAATACCGAACGGGTCAATTTGCTCAACTTTTGGGACCATTTTCCAGTCAAGAACTCCATTTTCCAAGCTCCAAGCGCAAAAATGCTTTCGTCCTTTGCCCACACCGACGACGTGGGTTCCATTCCAAACAAAAAGTTCATCTGCAAAGCCGGGGATGATTGTGACTTCAGTAAGATGTCGAAGGTTTGTCAGTTCGTGCCGTTTGCTTCCAGCAGTCGGTTCGTGGAGCTTGTATACATCCATTTCTCTGAAGGCTTCTCTTTGTAAAATAAAAAACAGGAGATCACATTTTGATGAACCGATGGAACCAAACATGTCTTACGGAATATGAACATATATATTCATCTTTTTCTGGTGGCATCAATGTAGGTGCACTTAGGGGGCTGTTAGGGCCAACTCAGCAAAGGACTGTTTCCATGAGCAGGTTCCAAGCCAAGTGAAAACAACAAAAGTCATCGTGATCCCGAATACATCGTTGTCGGATGCCTCAAGCAACCATTGTAAGTCAGTGGTATCAGTATCCTATTCGCCTTAAACAGCCAGCTGCACAAGTCACCCGAACGGGGCTTCAGGGTAGCTCTGTCACAAAATCTTTTTTACAGGCATGCAGAGAATGATTACAAGAAAATAATACGAAATTGTTCCAGGGTCCTTCCACAAAACTTTTGCAATTCCGTTCTACATATTAAGGCAGTTTCATCCTCTGCAAGAAACTGAGTTTTCCGTAAGCACTGAAAATAAAGTTTCACTTGCACCTAAGCCCTTCGTGAAGATTCAAATAAGAAAGCTGAGTTCGCAGTTTGTTCTTCCTAGAATTTTTATCTCGGGGACTCACGAGAAACATTTTATACTCGCCGGAGGTTAAACCGCGGATAAATGTAGCGTCTCTGGTCAGTTCACTCATTGTAGAACACGGTAGAAGTTAAGCTAAACAAAATAGTTCTAAAAATTTGCTTAGCAGCTGAGTTTTCATGGGAGACTCAACTGAATCTCTCGTTAATGATATTCTCCAACTTAGCTTACCTGATGAGCCCCAAGAAGAGCGAAAGCAGTCGTTGGCTGTTGAAGAGATTTCAGCAACCCTGTGAGTAGCTTCGCTTTCGAAAATATACTGCGATTTCTCGAATACCGTACCAACTGAAACACGGGGCAGCCTTTGTGCAGCACATTCAGTTGAAAAGTATCATAAACGAGAGATCCAGGTGAGTCTTCAGTAAAAATCCAGTTGATACGCAAATGAGCTTATCTGGCGGGATCTGTTCAGTTTGGATTGATGGAAACTCGGGGACGGCGCTTACCTGATTAGCCCCAAGAAGGACAAAATTGATCGTGGGCCTTCCGAAGAGTTTTCAGCAACCTTTTGGGTACTTTCCCTTATGATAAACGGATCATTTTTTATAGTCCTGCATGTTTATTTCTGTCAAAGTGAATGAAGCCGCATAATTAGGCAAACGGATCATACGGATCAGTGAACGTGCGTGGAAGACATACTGAAGCATTATCTTTGTTGTTGTACACAACAAATCTGTTATTAAGGAGTCTTATTTATACTTGAACAACACGGTGTCCACGATGTGGACGAACCGTAAACCCGTTCGTATTTTAATCGTCCTCCTGAATTCTCTCTCTCTCTCATCAGTATGGATAGAAGGCATGAATCACGATCTACGTCTCTGCTCTGTACTGATGCAGTGGCTGTTATAGACTGAGGAAGTGTGTATGAGTTACAGAATATGATTACGTCACCTATCGATTGAACGGACCTTATGAGTAGTGTATTACAAAGATATACATGCATTGCGATATCTCGAATATCGTAGCTACTGAAACATGAGGCGGCCTGGTGCCGCACATTCAGTTGCCTGAGAACATCACAAACGAGAGATTCAGCTGGGTTCCAGGTGAGTCTCTCGAAAAACCAAATTACTTTGCAAATGAGTGTATTTCGCTAATTTCGTGCAATTTGGTTTCAAGTGGAACATAAGGTTGACGGAAACTCGGGGACTGCGCCTACCTGATGAGCCTCAAGAGGAGCGAAACCGGTCGTGGGCTGTCGACGGATTTTCAGCAACCTTATGAGTAGTACATTAGAAAGTGGATGTGTTCCGGTCAGTATGGGGTAAACTCCAATTTGACTTTTATCCAGAGTTTTACAAGAAGCTCCGTTTGTTTAGCAGACTAGAAACCCCAAAAATAACGTTACCGCCTCGTTGAAAGAATTTTTTGCAGTAGTTTCTGAATAATCACCCCGAAAACTTTAGATATCGTGTTGTTATAAATGTTAATGAGTGTATGAACAAGATTCCTTCGAAAACTTCTGGATTTATGTTTCAGGACAACCACACATTCCGTTCTATTCTCGTGGATGCACACACTTTTTCAAACTATCTGTGGCACTACGGGTTTTCGAGGAGGAATTCTATTTTTCCTTTCCAGACTGTGCTTTTTATACTTCACCCCAGTTTCTGCTCATATCTTCCGAACTTCTAGCAATCGCGAAAATGCACAATACGATTAAGAGAATACCATCACTCACTTGCTTTCCCCTCGTTCTTCCGAGTATGTCAAATTGCTCAGCACGACCAACAAGTTTCCTCCCAAAAGGAATCGATCCGTTGACGACCAAATTTTCGATTCCACAGGCTGCACTTGGAAGAGTTTCTGGACATATCGATCGCAACTTTCTGCACCGAGGTGTGAGCCCTCCATCTCCAGCAGTAAACCAAAGTGCCAGCCATCTTTTACGTCATGGTAGACATACGTTATGGACTGCTTGTTGGGTGCATTTAATCCCACTAGCGTACAAATGGACTTTTTTCGCACAGCATTTTCCTGCAGGGTTTTCTGAGCCCTTTTCAGCGGACTGCAATTCCAGATAATATTTGGATCACTCACTGGGCGCGGGAAACACAAACTGAGCGACCGGACTCCGCAGTTGTCAGCCAGCACTGGAAGAGGCAATGGCTTTTGCACTTCGGTAACTAGCTGAGGTAACAGTGCCGCACTAGTTAACGTCAAGTTGGTTCGATTGACAAGGTTCCAACATAGTACTTCCATGCTAATATCAGTCTTAATTTTCTTCTCGAAGCTCTCTGAAACACTTACGACACTCGTGGCGTCTGGTGAACTGAATAACTTCAATTGTGGTGGGATGGATTTGGACATGAGACCAAAACCGCCTGATGGCCCGCTTTCGATAAATTCCAGTGTGGCTGGTTCACCTTCGATATGTTTTAAAAACTTTCCAGAGGGCAAATCAAACAAGTCCAAGCAACCTACAACTCCGCTGTTGATTGGATATTCAGAAGGTGCTCTACTAGCCAAAACGACAGGTCCGTTTTCCACAATGTCCACGGCAAAAATACGCGCACCCTGATTCGGACAGCTGAGCAATTCTTCTTGGACTTTGTTTTTGAAATCCAACACAAGGTCTTTGTCTTTCAGTTCGAAGGAAACAAGCCTTGCAACAGCTTCGTTTCTGCTTGCACAAACAAAGTGGAACAGGTTATTCCTTACTGTAGCCGCAATAAAAAGACCAATGGATGGTTTGGGTGCCAAAGAGGATCTTCGACGGTGGTGCACTTCGGTACTATACTGTTTCAATGGCATTTGTTCTGATTCAACTAGTGTGATGGAGGTGTGCATATACTCCAAACTGGTCCATTTCCATCTCCACACATCTATCCTGAGGTCCGCGAGATTCAAAATGAGTACGTAGGAGATTCCTGCCACCGGGGTTTCCACGGCATATACTAAACAACTTTCTTGTGCCTTGCCCCGATTGTCGCTGAGTTGAAAATAAGTATCACCCCAACTACTTTTCTCCTTATCGATTGGCCACACAGTCATTCTGTGTTTAGGAAACTCTACAGCAAGTATCGCCTGATTGGTTACCCAAACCAGCTGATCTATTCTGTCCACCAATCCTAGTCCAACAGTCTGACTCCAAACAATCTGATTCGTTGACAGTTGCCAGATATCGATTTTCACTTTCAACGTTACTGTATCCTTGGTTGCGGTAGCTAAATATCGTCTATTTGGGGAATGCGCCAAAGCGGTCACATGGAGAGATGTTCTTGCAAAGGTTAAACTCGAGTTTTGGAAGCTGGATATGAGACGTTCGGCGACATAATCCACACACCCAATGGAGACCTGAGTGTTAAAGTTGATTGGTTTCAACACCAGGTTGTTCATTTCATGTTGCACACGTTGTGCCAACTTACCAAGATCTTCCAATCCATCTTTTTTGGAATAAAATGTACCGTAAATCAACGAATTCAGTAACACCGGGTCTTGCTTCATCCGTGGAATCCAGCCACCTAAAGCAGTCAGCAATCTGAGCAGATCGTCATCATCTCCTAATATGGTGCATATGGCAAGGACAAACGGATCATAGTTGGCTCTCTCAATCGGCACAGTGGCAACCGTAAATAACACTTTCTCTTCATTCAGGTAACACAAACATCTCACGATTTCCTCCATCACCAAATGGACGTTTGTGTAATACTGGTTGAACTGTACGCTGACATCCATCACCTCGCTTAGCCAGGTGGGGCTGAAGAAGCACAAATTCCTGAGACGTTCAAACTGACCTGATTGGCTAAGATAACAAGGAAGTTCGAAAATCCACCGCCAACTTGAGAGGGACGCAACTCCACGCATTTGCATTTCCTGTAAAGCCCAGAACGAGAGATTTCTGTAAGTTTGAACGTTGTTCAGCTTCTCAAGATAACGAACCTGAGCAACGTGATGAACAGCACCATGCCTCAGATAGTAAAAGATTGCTGATCCGTCTGGAGGTCCCCGGCGCCGACAGAGAATCCCCGTTGGGATGAGATAGGCATTGAAAAACCGAATAACCCAAAGAAACGTGACCACCAATTCATCTGTCGAAACACTGGTAAACCACTGATCCCAGTTCACCGCGGCCACCGTGTGCCGATGCGTCATTTTGACACCAGGTGTGACCTGGATACGGTTGCGCATACTGTGCAGGCCCAACGTCAGCAAATCCTCCATATCTAAGCCCCACCGAGCGGCCAACAAATGTCCCATGATGAACTGTACCTTTTCATACCCGAATTCCTGTTCTGCGCATGCAAACCAGGCGTGCAGAACAGTTGATGGAGTGTAGTCTTCCAGTTCGTTTAAGTCGTTTCCTTGAAGTCTCATGGCTTGCAACAACCTTAGAGACAGGGGATTGAGGGTATCGCTTTCATGCTTTAGTTGTAAATCCTTCTCCACAGTATGCTGGTTTGAATAGTTTTCTGCAATCCAAACCCGAAGACATATGTTCACATCTCTTTCTCCGAGAGGAGTAAGCTGAATGTGTTTCAAATGAGTGCTTTCTGTCTGAGGAAGGCGTAACAAGTCCAACAATCCTGTTTTACCGGGCATTCTCTCAGAGTTTTGTGAGGTGGCGGCTACACCCAAGACAAAGAACACTGGACAATTAAGTCGAGGTTGTCTGAGTATCCAATCGGCTGGAAGCCAGGAGACTGGGAAATAGGCTGATCTTTGGGCGAATTCTAAAAGAGAGTGGAGACATCAGTATGTAAGATATATGAATAGGATGTTCGTGGAGAATCTAGATGATATATGTACAAAACATGAATATGACTCGCACTACACAACAAGGGCGAAGGAAAGAACAAAACTGGAAATCATGAAACAAAAGTGTGGACAAAAAGAGAGACCAAGGTATGAAGCCGGAAATCGACACGAGGCAGAAAGCGAAATAGCAACCTTAGTAATTGATTTGCCATGGCGTTTATCCTGTTAATTGGAGACTGGCAAACCTAGTCCACCGACAGGCGCTTGTCTTTGCGTTCGTACTAACGATAACTGGACGTCAGACAAACCCGCTTCTACATCTTAACAAAATGAAACATCACAACCGATAGATTCAGCTGCGTTCCAGGTGAGTCTCTTTAAAAACCAAATTAGTTTGCATATGAGTATATTTCGCTAATTTCGTGCAATTTGGTTTCAAGTAGAGTACAGTCCCCGGAAATCCAGGGACTGCGCCTACCTGATGAGCCTCAAGAGGAGCGAAACCGGTCGTGGGCTGTCGACGGATTTTCAGCAACCTTATGAGTAGTGCATTACAAATATATACATGTATCGCGATATCTCCAATGTCGTAGCGACTGAAACATGAGGCGGCCTGGTGCAGCACATTCAGTTGCTTGGAAACATCACAAACGAGAGGTTCAGCTGGGTTCCAGGTGAGCCTATCGAAGAACCAAATAAGTTTGCAAAGGAGAGTATATTCGCTAAAATTAAACACATCTCATGATTTCCAACAGAAGTTTTTAGACACCTTCTTACGGGTCAAAGGTCAAAGCCGGGTTTCAGAAGCCTGCCACCTAGACAGACCTTGGTTGTCATCACAGTCAGATGAGGATAAGTGAACCGAGTGCCTCAAACTTGAGGTAGCTTAGATCTGAATCGCAATGTTGTATTGGCTACGTTTTCAATGACCTAGTATCATCAAGACTCCTTCCTTTATTAAATGCAAAACTACTTGGGTCTTACAGGTTCACTATCGCTATGTAAAAACACAAAGATGTATACTCTATGACAACAGGAAACGGATTTAGGGTTGCGACAGTGTCTTCTCCATCGTTATTTTCTTTCCCAAGGAATGGGTAGGTGTGCTCGATGCTGCTGGACAAAACAGCTTAGAGAATGTTCGAAACAGTAATTGGTGGTCGTATGTTAGCTGGATCGGGTCAGATAAAGTTCGCTGACACATTCCTGCCAGATTCTCACCGGAATCGATAGATGTAGTCTTTGGAAAAGGCGCATGAAACATTTAGGGAACCAGAATACGTATCCTTCTTCTTTTTCTCCTTCTAGAGAGTTTGTTTCTTTTAGAAGGGGATTCAAGGAAAATATGAATTCTTTCTCTCCGTTATGGTGGGCTGGTGTTTGCTTCCAGGCTAGCCTGTCACATCGAACGAAGTAGATTGACTTCTGAGCACAACAGATTTGTCGCAAGTTGCATGTGAACCTGAACCGTGTAGAACCTGGGAAAGTAAGAACTGATGGTGAAAATTTGGGTGCACTTCTGATGCTATTTGCATGCCCAACATTTGTCCCATAGTTATTATTTCATGGAGGTTCAACTGAACAGTTGATGCTGTGGTGTCCAGCAGCACTCACGAGACGTTGTTGAGACAGACAGGTATGACTAGCTGGTGCATTCAGCTGACCCCGTGCAACGACGTTCCATAGGCAGCCAACTCGAACTGCGTTTCGGGTTCACACACAGGTGAAATTTTGCACGCACGGTTTATAAATATATGCTAAGTTCATAAGACGGAATTGTAGACAATACAACCCAACGCAGTAAAACCCATTATACTGACGTGTCAGGAGGCGCCCAGACATGGGAAAAGTACATGTGCAGAGAGTGACGCATCCCCGAGGTGAGGTCACGTACGACACGTTCGTAAAGCAGGTGCGTTGGCGGAGCACACCAAACACGGCTTAGCAACATAAGACCAGTGGAGTGGGGCTGAAATTGTTCACGACCGGAGCACCGCCATTGGCTGTGCAGAACGAACAAGTGAACGATCATATTTGGCCAT